AATTGCCTAAGCCCAAGAGCTGGAGGTTGCTGTGAGCTGTGATGCTACAGCACTCTACTGAGGGTAACAAAGTGAGACTCTGTCTCTTAAAAAAGAGAGAGAGAGAGAGAAACTAGCCAGGCGTTGCGGTGGGAGCTTATAGTCCCAGCTACTTGGGAGGCTGAGGAAAGAGGATCTACGGAGCCCAAGAGCTCATTGGGCTCCCTTCGGCCCTGTGCTACACACATGACACAGATAAAGTCACACAGAGCCCCTACCCGAGAAGGCCGTGCCAAAGCCAGCTGAGGCCCCACCACTGTCCACAAAACCCACAAGGAGCCTCTTCTCACCGTGACCAAGGCACTCGGTGATTTATTACCCATCCTGCAGCAGCTGTAGGGGTTGCCCAGGGTCACACACACAATTTACAATGTGGAATCTTTTCTCTCCCACGCGGATGGCCGGAGAGACCTTTAAGAGGTATTTGCATAAGCTGTTTGACAACCTTAACGTTGGACACATTTTAGTTTCCTTGACATGCACTTTGCCAGGCTTTGTTTAATCTTCCTGGCCTTTGGGGGCATCACCACCCCACCACCCATGTGAAGTTAGGCAACAGAATCGACCATGCCAAGACACACAGTCCCAATGCATGACGGCCACAGAGGGAAGCTGCATGTTCACAGCCAGCCTGAGGCAGTGGCACCAACTGTGCCCAGAGCGGTCCCCAGCAGAAAAGGTGCACCCTGGCATGCCAACCCAGAGTAGCATCTCAAGGATGGCCACTGTCACTACCACTATTATTCATCGCACAAACTAACTCAACACCAGGTCCTTGGGCCTCGCTCTCTATACTCAAGAAAGAGAAAATCACAACAGCCTGTGTCTTCTCAATCACCTCTGTCATCTGCAGACCTACTGTGTCCAGATGTGGCCCCACTCAGGTTCGGCTAGGCCTAGGAATAACTCCATGACATCCTGGCTCTTAGAGTAAAACCCCAGTATCCCTGGCCCTATAGGACCCAGCCAATGAGACACTGCCCAGCCACCTTGCCAGTCCCACCTGCTGCAGTGCCGGCCCCGAGCTCTCCCCCACCCCTGACCCCTGCAGCTCCCTCTGCTCCGTGTTGAGCATCCCCATTCCTGCCAGTCATGGGGCAGCTTCTTTCTCAGGTCTCAGCTCAAACGGCAGCTTCACAGAGAAGTCTTCTTCACCACCCTGCCTGAGCAGGTCTCCACAGCCATCCTTTCTAAAAACTCACCACGAAGTGCAATTATTTTATTACTATGTCACCCCAACTGTGAGGTGAGGACCACCGACACCCTGGCTCCCAGCTCCACGGCCAGCAGAGAGCAGGTCTGAAAACACACTTGTAGAACCGGTACAAGTGCACAGACACAGAGAGACCTGCCTGTGGGCGGCAGCTGCAGAGCTGTTTGAGCAAAGCACACCACTTAACCAGCACCGTCCACGTGCTCAGTCTGGAGACAGAGGCGGAAGATGTGAGTCCAGGGTCTGCCCCCTTCCACCTGGGCAAGTCACTTTACTAAATCTCAATTTCCCCATCAGAAAGAAAAAGCAAGGAAGGGAGTAGGGAAAGAAAAAGGGAAGAAATGAGGGGAAGGGAGAGAAGAGGAGAGGAGGGGAGGGGAAGGGAAAAGAAGAGAGAGGAGGAGAGAGAAGAGGAGGGGAGAGGAGGAGAGAGAAGAGTAGGAGAGAGGAGAAGAAAGGAGAGGAGGGGAGAGGAGAGGACAGGAGAGGAGGAGAGAGAAGGAAAGAGAAGAGGAGGGGAGAGGAGGGGAGAGGAAAAGAGGGAAGAGAGAGGAGAAGAGAGGAGAAGAGAGGAGGGGAGGGGAGAGAACGGGAGAGGAGGAGAGAGGAGGAGAGAGAAGAGGAGGGGAGAGGAGAGGAGAGGAAAGGAGAAGAGGGGAGAGGAGGAGAGAGGAG